AGTACCATCATTATCTAATCATTATCTAAATATTATCTACTACCTTCACATATAATTATTTACAACTCATTTGAGGAGGCCATGATCATAACTATGATCTAGTATTACATCAAATTAAAATAAAGACATTTACATATCGTTCCCTGAACTCTTTTCTCTTGTAATTTGTCAGATTTTTTTTTTAATAAATAACCACAAGTTTATTTATGTTCTCAGACAACTTTGTTAATATATTTCAAGAAAATGACAAGAAAACAGATCTGATTGGTTTGATCCTTATTATTGATCCATGTTACCATAACCATTATAATAATGTTGGTTGAAATATAAATGATAAAGACTCCCTCTGACTATATAGCATAAAACAAATCCTCTATATTTTAACAGTTATATTATTAACTTATCTAAAATATTTTGATACACGTATGGTGTTTATATAACAAAAATCCAGTCCAACACTAGTACAATCAGGTAGAGTCCTGCAAAAAGACAGAGTATGGCTGAACAAATGACCACAAAGTTAAATTCATATTTAGCTGGTGCAATTATCATAGAATTATAAATAAAAATCAGGATATATTGCAAAATATTATTTCTTTATAGTCCTGCACCTGGAGGATTTTCAATCTAAATGCCTTGTCAACTTGCATTTCTGCTATCCAGTATACTTATGACCTAAAAAAATGCATGATTTCCCATTGGAAACACTTAATATATAAAACTATAGCAATCAGCCACTTCCACTACGTGTTGCCAAAGACTGTGTGTTCATACAGTCACCACTACAAAGCCTCTGAAGCCTTTGAAACACTCTAACATCCCTGCCTGTCGTTCGTAGAAGGATATTCCCCACATCTGTTGATAACCCAGACAAGCTCTTGATTCAGCGTCATTCCAGCAGAGACGTGTGAAAGTCAAGCATTTCTGAACACACAGTGAGACACGTCTGCAGCCTCACACTATGAATACATTATTCATCAGGGACAGCTCAGGCTCTGCAGACCAGGAGGCATCTTGTCTTATGAAAACTGTTCAAATTCAGGCCCAGTGGTACGAAGGACAAGCTAAATATCCAGACAAGACAACATTAACATTTGAACGGAAAATATATACAATATGTATATATATATATATATATATATATATATATATATAAAAAAAAAAAAAAAATTTCAATATATTGTTAGAGCAACCACAATGCTGGAATAAAAGGTTGGATGGATTCTGGTTCATGTCAGACACAAACAGAATGTCGACTAATTGGTGAAGAATTGAATAAGAACAAACAAGAACACACAAACATTAAATATTAAATCCTGTGGGCTCAGGGACTAAAACCTTAAAAAAACAGTAATCAGTTTTTCTCTCCTCTGAAATCTTTTGGGACAATTTTGAAAATCTCTCATTTTGATCGCAATTATGTCGAGCATGCTGTGGTGAATTTTTCATTTCATAATTAGAAACCCTGAGATGAGAGAAATGCAAATCTACCATCAGGCCGAGACAGGACGTGTTGCTCTGACGAGGAAATCCATATTCATGACACATTTTCTGGGATAAATTCTGTGTGTGGATCATTTCAGTGCAAACTGATGACACTGCTGTTCATTTTCTTTTCCTATTGTGATATTTGTTGTGTTTTTCCGTGATTTAAATGCCAGATTTAAGGGCCGGGTGCAGCTAAAATCTGAGTAATGAAATACAAGTTCAAACAAAAACAAACAACGCAGATCATTCTCCTAATTCTAGGAAAGAATTTAAGGTCATGAAAATCTATCAGTGTGATTGAACTTTCTGCTCTGCAGCGTTTATAGGTCAGATAAGACTGAAACATCCAAAATTCAAAAACAAACCAATAATCCATTGCACACATGACTCAGAGCCGCACAACACAAGAGCCTTTAAATGTATGTTTACACACACAGAATGATAAAAATAGAGGCCACGGCAAGGACATCATCTATCACACTGACGTGTACAACACCCCGACTAAAGCAGACATCAAAACACAAACTGATTTTTGGGTAGCTGTCCTTATAAGGACTCTGCACTGACTTGCATTCATTGTGTACAATAACTTCACAAAAACCATACATTCCTCACACTGAACCACCAATGCACAATATAAAACAGTGTAACGTAACATGGTTACACACTGCCAGGGGAGTATTGTTTCATCATTTATATTGCATTGTGTTACATTAGAATATGTCATTTTGTCCGTTTACACACATGACAGGGACATTGGTTTGTATAACTGTGGCTAATAAACTGTACCGTGTAATGTCTGTGAAGTATTTCTTCAGTAAAACATCAAGTGGAACTGTCATTTAAAAATATCACATCATGATGATCTCATTAAATACTGAAGTGTGCACGGCCTGTTTGTCAAGGTGCTCGACAAACGCTCGTATAAAGAGGAGTATTACACAGCAGCTCAGACGCAACCCCACCACCACGCCATGAATTCAAGGTGCTTGTCAGCCGATCGCAGCACAAACGTGACAGACTGAGCAGCACCCCAGCAGGTCCGCGGCAAAGTGATCACGATCACTTTAATAACTATCAGGAAGATTTGTGCTTGTCAGAGGCTCCGCAGATATAACGTCCTATTCTCAGTGCTCATAAAGTGAGAAATAAATCTTTCACTCCCGGCCCGCCACAATAACATTGATGCATCAAAACGACCTGTGCGACTGAAATTGATTTTTTTCTTCTCATGGCCGTTTTTTGTCCAATCAACCTTGGATGTCAAAATGTAAAAACTAGACGGTTAAAATCCATCATAGGAAAGTAAACTGCTGTGGATCACATCTTTTAAACTGAAATCAAAATCTATTCATGCAAAGGAATCAATATCCAGGGTATTGCTCTTCATATGTAAACTAGTCTGTGTTGATCAATGAAAGAAAATTACATTTTATTCATGATTTGCACTCCCTGTGTTTGACCTGCTGACCTCTGGTAGACACTACAGGCTCAGACGGAAATATAGGGCTCTGATATACAAAACAATCCTGAGAATCATGTGTCACAGTGGGAGCCTGCTTAGCAGCATCTTTTTATTGAAATTGTATGGAATAGTTTCTTCAGCATTTGTATATTTTTTTCATATTTGTTTATTTGTTAGTTCTTAAAAAGTGTCTGCTCAGTGTGAATACAGGGACATGATTGTTACTTACTCTTGAGGCAATTTTTGCAATGTCAATAAAGGATTTCTATTCTAAATAACAGTTGTTCCACAAAAAAGTGATGCACAGAATATGTGGTGCTGTTTCAAGTATATCAATATTTCAACTGAACATCAACAGCATGATGATTAATCTTGTGTATGATTTTAAAGTTAACTGTTTTTGTTACGCGAGAACAGAAAATAATTTGCTTATGTTCTGTGTCCAAGTTTAAACCATTAAATAAACATTACAGTGTAAATGTACATTTCTGTTAACGAAGCCAAATGCAGGAGTCGGGGGATTGACTGAATTTCTCTGAAGTTAAGAATTGGTCGGCTGTCAACACAGATAAGCAGTTCTTTCATGTCCATTCATATGTACATGTTTTTCCACCTCCAACACACGCAAATCCAATTATGTTCTAATTGAGTGTTACAAGGCTCATTGATTATGACAGAGGCAAAGCAGCAGATTGAGCGGGAGAATAATATCCCCAGTAATTAGCCCGCGGCACCCGGGGGGCATGATTTAATACTGAGCACATATTTCTCAATATTACTCAATTTGAATTGACTTTGCCAACATTGGAATGTGAATATTTATGGAGCACAGAAAAGGAATTAAAAAATAACCAATTCAGAGGTTTCCTGGCAGATGCAAATGGATTTGTTTTATTTATTTGAGGCCTTAAGTTAAAAGTAGTCTTGGAAAAGCTGTGGAAAAGTATTGTATTATTCAGACTGGATTCAAACACTGTCTATCAAAATCCAGTTTGATGACATGGCAGGTAGAAGTCTAAGGCTTGTGTAAGAACAGCAGTGAGAGCAGACAGTGAATTCCAGAGAAAAAAGTGGAGTCAGCTAGTTAATAATTATGAAAATGATTTTCAAACTTTGCTCTGCCCCCCATTAATTATTTTACAAAACAGAGTGATTTACTGGGAAACAGCAGTCAGGGGAGGATGTAATCCACCTCCTTGTAAAGTCAGAAGAAGGTTAATTTGTGGACGAACACATTAAGGCTCTTTATAGGATGCAATGCAATCTAGAGATCTCCACTCCAGCATCAGTGGAAGGAACCATAGCAAAGAGAGTCTCTATAAGGGCCAGAATATTATTCTGATCAATAAATACAATCTACAGTATCTCTCTCTCTCTCTATACTAATGTGGCAGTGGCAGTGAAAGACATCAGGGAAGTCTTGTGGCTGAGATACATTTAATAAGAGGCATCTTGGTACTAACATCTTGGTACTAACAGACCTGATATAAAATACAATAAAACCATAAGCTCATTTTTTATCAAATGCTCTGGTTGTGCGTTGGATTATATGATTTATTTCTGCGTCTTTGTTTGAGGAAAGCAGTGGTTAGCACTGTCGTCTCCTGGTACAAACTTGACAGCTGGCTGGGCTCTCTGCAGAGTTTGCATGTTCTCCACGTGCCGACGTGAGTTTCAGGTATTGCTCTCAGAGTAAAAAAGATATAGATGATGGACAGATGGATGGATGTTTGACATAGGAGTACAGGATGTCGCTGTATCCCTACAAATTAAAGCCAGCATGCAATCAAGTCAACAAAAGAGGAGTCAATGATGTTCGACTCCATGAGGGGACACTTAACACCAACTGTCCTCAGTGCATCTATAGAAAGTCACAGCAAGGCCATAAAATATCCTCTTCTCTCTGAACCAAGAAAAAAGTTGAGTATGGCAGAGAGCCCCCCCACCAGCTCAGACATCAGTGTTTATCTGAACCTGTCACAAGCACGACCTCTTCAGATTAACAAAAACCAATAAGATCAAACTTGAATGAATGTGCAAACCTTACCTGTGCTGTTCTGCAGAAAGGTCATCAGTGCATGTCAAACTAGTCTGAGTGACGCCTCCATTGCCATGTTGCACCGTGAGAGCCAACTAGTTTCCTCTTGAATCCATCGTTTCAGCTTCCCTCTCTTTCACCATGACTGGATTCACTGCTGCAAAATCAGAAACATGTTTCAGAAAACACAGAAGTTGTTTTTCATGTGGGAATTTCTTCACAAAGGTCACTGACATTAAGACTCAGCTGAGAAACATACACAAACCTACACAGCTAATAAATGTCCAACCCAGATGTAGGAGGCTTTGAGTTTCAATTCCTTGTCATTCCATTTATTAATCTATATTGAACAGGGCCAACATTCTGCAGCTTTTACTTTAACTTGTCCACATTAATCACAGCTGTTTCACAACAGTTTGCATGCAGCAGCACCTTTATGATGCTCTCACCACAACAAGATAGAGAGAGTTCAAAGTCCCAGCCTGACACTACATGAGGTGTCCAGAGAAAAAAAAGAGCCCTGCTGCTCTTGAGGTTGTTGTTTTGTTGATGTAATAATTATTGAACTTGTAAGAAGAGGGTGTTCACGGTGGAAGCTGGTGAGGACTCAGTCATTTAAAAATTCTCCAAACTGAGACAGCACAGGATTTACACAAGGTAAGGACATAATACCAGAGTTGACTTGTGGTGGATTTTACTGGGATACTTTGAGGAAATAAATTGTTTATCAACCGAGTTAACAACGTTTTCTACGGTGGCCAAAATTGGTTGTCGGTGCCTCCCTGGTACGCACGCGTTCAATGCCCGCATGGCTCTGCGGCACACCTGCAGGCGCTCGGTCAGGCAAGTCACCGACATACGTTTATTAAAACGGATTCACCAATTACAGGTGATGTAAAACACGATCTCATGCTGCGAAGGAACTTTAAGGATGAAACTTGCCACAGAGAGCCGTGCGTAAAAGTCCCACAAAGCAGGCGCATGCACGTTTCCTTCCTCGTGTGAGAACGTGGCATGACGAGGCACAGGTTACTGTGGCTACTGGTGTAAAGTCTCTTTGTTGTCACAGGCTCGAGATCAGTTTCAAAGGGATGAAATGTGTCCACGAGCTCTGTTTGAAACTGAATCCTGGAGCTGCACCTCACAGAGCGCAGGGACCTGCCACCACGTTCAGCTGAGGACAATGACCGGCCTGCCTGCTCCACCGGTGGAAGAAGTATTTAGATCCCGTACTTGAAGTAAAAGTACTTTTTCCATGCATGGACGTAATCCACTAGAGTACAAGTCCTCCATTAAAAAATTGAGTAAAAATACTATGTCCTCGACTCAAAAGTACTCCACTACAAGTCCTGCATTTAAATTCCCTCTAAATGTAAAAGTATTATCAGCTAAATTCACTTAAAATATAACAAGTAAAATGACTCATACTGCAGTAAAATGTTGTAATATTCCATCAGAAATGTTGGGTTAATATTGCAGTTACATTAATGTGTATATTGTATTTTACTGCTTTAGATGTTTCTGTTTCTCATATCTCTAAAAACTTTACTTCAACTCAAACGCCTGTTTTCAGTTCTGTCGATTCATCTTCCAGCTGATCCAAGAGACTTGGGATGGCTTAGAGTTTTGTCAACACACAAAGAAACAGTTCATCTTTCAGTTTTTCACAAATATTCAACGTCAGCACATCTGGAGAGATGTGGTTTACACCGTCGTCTGAAAAGTAATTAAAGCTGTTGCACAAATGCAGCGGAGTAGAAGTAGTTTCATAAATAGCAATGCTAAAGTTAAGTACAAGTACCTCGATTGTGTACTCAAGTGAAGTGCTTGAGTGAAATATACTAATTCACTGTCCACCACTGCACTGCGGTAACAGTGGTCACACTCAACAGCAACAGTGACCTGGAGTGATGATAATATGTACTGAAAGTCAGTTTAAAAAGTTGAAATATTTGATGCAATATTTTTAAGGGATCGTATTATCATCTTTTTTTAAGCACTGGAAGTATTTGCTGAGTCACTTTAACCTGTAATTATGGCAGCAAAAAAATTGAAGTTTGTGGTTTCTTTAAACTTTGAATTCGTCTTGAGCAGAGAATGGCACCAACATTTACCAAATCTGAGTTAAATAAGTTATATATTATCTCATCGCTGCGCTCGCACGATCCATACTACAGTATTTATTTGCCTGTCATTCGTTTTTGGATTTTTCATTTGTAAAACTGACCAGTCAATCAGTATTTTTTTTTTTACTTCATTTGTTGCTTGATCATTTTCCTACCAAAAGGTTTTTTAAAGTTCCTGATACAAGTGAGACGTCTGTCTCACCTTTCCCTGTGAAGTCATTATTATCGTTCAAAGCATTCTTTGTTCACTGACCCCTTTATTTTCTGCCTGCTTTTTCCCCTCTGGAGCATATTTGATTCGGTGGCTTACTATGCTTGAGAAACAATGTTTTCTCAGGAGTGTTAGGAGGCTAAATTTGTTGCTTTTAAGGGTTGTGTGACTGTAATCCCGGCTTAATGAGCGTATGCTGACATGGAGGCAGTGTTGCAAAACTGACTTAGTTTCAGCCGGCTGCTGCTGAATGCAGGAGCAGATGCAGACCTGTTGCACAAGCCGTACAACCTTCAGGGTATCAGGGTATATAGCGGTCCAGATAAAAGTAGGAGTGTAGCTTTATTCAACTTGTTGCAGAAGAAAGAAAATAATTGGAGCTGAGGTGTTCGCCATGCCCTTTGACCTCAGGGTGTCTTTGCAGCCCTCACATGCTTGTGCTTTTCTCTTTGTGATCATTTTGCTTCTTTGGACTGTTGTCAAAGGGAGGTTCTGCTACCAAAAATGTCTTTTCTGTCTCTGACAATAAGAAGCATCCATGTGGTTCATGAACGAGGGTATAAGCAGGTTACCATGCAAAGAAGAAAAAAACTGATAGTTTAAAGATTTCAGCCAAATGAGCCTCACAAACTGGTGTGATTGACGTCTGTTTGGTTGTCAATCACACTGGGTTATGTCCGTGTGCTGCAACAGAGATTTATCATGAAGGGAATTATCCCTGAAAAGCTGGTATGATGAGATGTGCCAGTGCATTCTGTCAAATGAAATGTAAGAAATATACAAAATAAAGAATAAGCTATAGTTATTATGGATTCATTTATTTCAATAGGTGATCACAAACCCCAGTCACACTTTAGCAGAGCTCAACACAACATCTTATAATTTTGTCTGAAGAATACAAAACCCCAAAGACATTAATATGTTAGAATGATATAAAATAGAGAAAATAAATGTAGAAGCTTGAACCATCAGATGATGTGACTCTTTATGTGGCACTTTTTCTTAACACAATAATGAAAGTTATTAACATGTTAAGAAAAAGTGTCAGTGTTTTCTTTTGCTCAACTTATCAATTATCAGTAGTTTGAAGTTGGCAGGAAAATTGTTGAAACTTAAGTGGTCTGGAAGAAAACATGTTGTTCCATCAACAATACATAGATTTTGTTTCTTATTATGATTTTGTTTTGATAATTTAAAAAAATGCCAAACTGAATTAAATTATTCTCCGAGGGATATTTTTTAACATTCTCTTTATTATTATACTTTAAACAATAAAGCTTAGTCCATGTTGATTGTTGGATATTTCTCTTGTATCATGAGCTGAAAAAATCACTGACATTAAAACAAACATCCAGACAAGTTTAGATTGAATTCCTTTCCTCTGGGCAGTGTGACGCAGCCTATTGTTAAATCCATTTCATTCTCACATATCATGTGTTCTCAACATAGAGTCATTACTATGAGACTCATTGCTACCTCCGCCACTTTTTTCACTTTCTGAAACGTGAATGTGTGTGAAATGTGATGCAGATCGAGTGGTTTTCATAAGGGGACAGTTGGGCCTGGGTGGAGGTTTGAGCTGTACTGAGTGACATTCTAGTGTGTTTATCATCTTAATTTGTAGTTTACATGATAACCCCTTATCTTATTTCTGATAAACTGTGTTTTTCTAAGAATTCAACACATTAAAATAACTTGTAAAAATACTTATTTATTTATTTAAAGTATTTCCCCATAACTATGGCCTTGGAAACTTTTATCTTGATTGATCTGCTGAAGACAAAGTACTGGGTTGAACGAACCTGCTGTTGATCCTTATCATGCTGAAGGTGCAGAGATATGAGATGAACCGTGATCTGAAAACACATAACTTCTCTCATCCTGCTTTATTTGCTTCTGTGGATTTACCTGGATTGAGTTTTGTTAACCTTTCACAACTAAATCGAAAACAGTAGGGAACAATGTGAGAGTTTCCCTGTTACATGTGGAGCTCTGGAACTGGCTCATCGCTCCCAGCCACCCACACAGTCCTAGCTGGAGTTTTATAACCCTGCACACCTGACCCTTACAATCACAAGTCCAATAACACAAGTCCAAAACTTGATGTAATCCCAGTAAGCTGCAGGTGGCCGTGCAGATTGGCTGCTCAGATCTCCACCACGTTCCCTCCCTTCACAAACTTACTCCCCCCCCCCTCTCACTCTCTTCCCCAGGCTCCCAGTGTGGTGGCAACCCTCAGCTGAAAAAGGGCCTGTGCAGGGTGGAGGCAAAGCGCTACAGCCAGGACCTGTCACATTACTCTCAACTCCACAGTTGGACCAGGGCACCTGAGTATACAGGCTGTGAGGAGGGAGAGTTAGTGAGAGCAGACCAAACACAGGGAAACGAGGACGCCTCTGCTGCAGAGTCCAAAGTTGGGACTTGGGAGACATCTTTTCCTCTGAAGTCAAAGGGGGATTGCAGCCAAGTGCCGTCACAAGTTGTGGCTAAAAGTTCTCCTTTGTTAAACGTTGGATCTTCTTGAAAAAGAGAACAATGGATAAGGATGCTTTTCTGGACTACGAGTACCCAGACCTGGAGCCTCTGCCGTCCAAAATTGAAGTAGAGTAAGTACATGTTTGCATTTGTAAGGAACACATTTGAATGCATTTGTCTTTATTCCAACTTTTGTGAGTCTGAAAAATATCACTACGCAGCTTTCATTGAGATCTCAGGTGACACTTGGCATCCATCACCACAGCCTGTGTCAGCTTGTGATCTTGTTTCCGTTCATATAATTTGTAATATTATAGTAGACGCTGTATCATTTTCATGTTTTGAGAATGCAGGTCCTTGTGGAAACTGGCAAGCCATGGACTTTATTAGGAAAAGAAAGAATGAACTCAACCCAAAATAAGTCATTGTTTAAACATTTTACTGGACTTTTTTTAAATGTATAACACATCATGGAACCATGCAACATTGGACAAAAGATCCAAAAGTCTCTCGTCTTTACTCCAGATCAGAGTGACGATACAACAGGGTGCATGCACTT